TTTTGCATCAGTGTTCATAAGGGATATTGGTTTATAGTTTTCTTGTAATGCCTTTTTCTGGCTTTGGTATCAGGGTAATGCTGGCCTTATAGAATGAGTTAAGAAGTATTCCCTCCTCTTCAATTTTTTGGAAAAGTCTGAGAAAGATTGGCAATATTAAATGTTTAGTAGAGCCCTGACCGATTTGGCTCAGTGTTTAGAGCGTTGGCCTGCGGACTGAAGGGTCCTGGGTTCGATTCCTGTCAAGGGCATGTGCCTTGGTTGCGGGCACATCTCTGGTGGGGGGCGTGCCGGAGGCAGCTGATTGATGTTTCTAACTCTCTATCCCTCTCCCTTCCTCTCTGTAAAAAAACAATAAAATATATTTAAAAAATAAATAAATAAAATAAAATAAATGTTTAGTAGAGTCCACCAGTGAAGCCAACGGGGCCTTTTTTTTTTTTTTTTGGCTAGGGGATTTTTAAATTATTATTTGAACTAAATCTGTTTTATTTTTTAAAATTTATCTTTATTGTTGAAAGTATTACATAAGAACAGAAAAGGAAGTATTACAGATGTCCCTTCCCCACTTCCCCCAATAACTCCCCCTACCCCTCTACATCTTATTTATCTTGATTACTGCATCCCTCCTCAGGCCTTTTCCACACTATTGCCTATTACTTATTCAATTTCCTTACTAGTAATAGGTCTATTCAGATTTACTTTTTCACTGTGGTTTAGTCTTGGTAAGTTTTGTGTTTCTAGGAATTTGTCTATTTTATCAAGGTTATTCAATTTGTTGGTATATAATTGTTCATAGAACTATCTTAAATTCTTTTTATTTGCTAGAGGCCTGGTGCATGACATTTGTGCCTGGGGGGGAGGGGTCCCTCAGCCAGGCCTGTGCCCTCTCACAGTCTGGGAACCCTCGGGGGATGTCCAACTACCAGCTTAGGCCTGCTCCCCGGACATCCCCCAAGGGGTCCTTAGCGCTGCCACAGAGGCAGGAGAGGCTCCTGCTGCACTTGCCAGCTGTGAGCCTGGCTTCTGGCTGAACGGCACTCCCTCTGTGGAAGCGCACTGACCACCAGGGGGCAGCTCCTGCATTGAGCATCTGCCCCCTGGTGGTCAGTGCCCGTCATAGCAACCGGTCGTTCTACTGGCTGGTCAATTTGCATATTAGGGTTTTATTATATAGGATTTATTTATCTATTTGTTTATTTATTTATTTTTAAATATATTTGATTGATTTTTTATAGAGAGGAGGGGAGAGGGATAGAGAGTTAGAAACATCAATGAGAGAGAAACATCGATCAGCTGCCTCCTGCACGCCCCCGACTGGGGATGTGCCGCAACCAAGGTACATGCCCTTGACCAGAATCGAACCTGGGACCCTTGAGTCCGCAGGCCGACGCTCTATCCACTAAGCCAAACCGGTTACAGCTAGGATTTATTTTTATAATGCAAAAACTGATTTATTTGTTCACACACCAATGAAGGAAAGCAGTCTTCTGTCAAATGGAGAAGATTAAGATTCTTAAGTAGCTGATTTTGTAACCTACTACAATAGGAAGACTCGCTCTATCGCCTTCAGATGTTAGGTCTATTTACCAAACACTTCAGCAGGCTTTTTAAATGGGACTTCCCCCTCCTGGGCCTGCTTTTCTAATTCTTTATGATATACAAGCTGCATTCCAGGTAGTTTGTGTTCTTCTTCTATCTATCCAGGTACTTTCCCAAGAAGCATAAGAGATCGTATTCACTGTTGCAGAAGCCATGGTCTTCGTGTCTAGCAGGAGCTTGGTTAACTTATTCTCCAGCTCCAGAGCAGACTCTAGAGCTTGTATGCCAGTTCCCCAGTTATCTCTCAGGCCTCTTAATTACCCAACAGCAGGTTTTACTCTGACGTACTCTTAGATATCTTATGAATTGCTTTCCATGTTCCCTCTTCACCTCAGCTTGGTCTTCAAAGAATGTGGCAAAAAGAGGTTCTCCTGGGCCTTCAATGTAATAACAAGCCATCGGTAAATAAACATCACTAATGTGCAGCTTATAAGATGCCATGTGATCAATAGCAACCCTACACTCTCCAGAGAGGAGGTACTGGGTTGCCATCTCAGCTTTAGAGAAAACCAGGCATAAACAGTGCTTAAATTCTTTTTATTTCTGTAGAATTCACAGTAATGTCCCCACTTTTATTTCTTTTTAAAAACAATATATTTTTATTGATTTCAAAGAGGAAGAGAGAGGGAGAAAGAGCTAGAAACATCAATGATGAGAGAGAATCATTGATCAACTGCCTCCTACATGCCCCCTACTGGGGATGGAGCCTGCACCCCGGGCATGTGTCCTTGACCTGAATCGAACCTGGGACCCTTCAGTCCGCAGGTCAACGCTCTATCTGCTGAGCCAGACCAACTAGGGCCCCATTTTTATTTCTGATTTTAGTAATTTGAGTCTTCTCTCTTTTTCCCTTTATCTAGCTAAAGGCTTATCAGTTTTTTTTTAATCTTTTTGAAGAACTAACTTTTTGCTTCATTAATTTTCTCAATTGTTTTTCTTTTTTATTGCTTTTATTTTTTAAAGATATTTTCATTGATTTCAGAGAGGGAGAGAAAGAGAGAGAGAAACATCAATGATGAGAGAGAATCATTGATTAGCTGCCTCCTGCACATCCCCCATTGGGGACTGAGCCCGCAACCCAATGTGCCCTTTACCGGAATCGAACTGGGAGCCCTTCAGTTGTTAGGCCAAAACTCTATACACTGAACATGCTGGATGGGAGATCGAACCAGTAACCTAGGTATATGGCCTGACTGGGAATGAAACCCGCAATCTTTCAGAGCTCCATTACTTATTTTATTTATCTCTGATCTAATCTTCATTATTTCCTTTTAGCTTTGGTTTTGTCTGTTCTTTTTCTAGTTCCTTAAGTTGTAAAGTTAAGTTGTGATTTAAGATCTTGTTTTATTTATTTATTTATTTATTTATTTATTTATTTATTTATTGCTGCAAGCAGCTTTATTGTTTTTATTTGTTTCAATGCATAGGAGAGGGCTTCAGGGTGACTAAAAGAATGGCTAGTAGTTAGGGGGAGAGACTCAGGCAAAAGCCAAACACCAGAGGAATGCAGAGGGACCCCTCAAAAGCTTCTGGGCTCCAAAGGCTTCTAGTTGTGCTTGAGAGTGAGCCTTCCAAAGAGATACTGGCCAGCCCAGCCTGGGGGCCGGCCAGCCTGTGGAGGTTAGTCAGGTGGTTGCCCATTTTCTTGATGAGTTTCACCTCCTCATCCAGGAAGTGGTTCTCTAGGAAGTCACAGAGATGAGGGTCTGCGCAGGTAGAATCCAGGGCATGCAGCTCCAAAAGGGCCTGGTTCAGATTCCTCTCCAAGGCCAACGTGGCTTCCATGCATGCTGAGTTTTGCCCACTCATCTTGGGGAGGCTTCAGCACATCCTGGAAGAGAATGCAGCCTGCTAGTTTTGCATCTTTAAGAGATGCTCAGCACCCTCAAACTTTTTCTCAGCCAACTCACGGGAGAAGTGGCCCATGCCCTGGAGAGCCACATCATCGCAGTCAAAATAGAAGCTCAGAGAGAGATAGGTGTAGGAAGCCCGCAGATACAGGTGGGCCAAGTGGTTGACAGTTGACAGCAGCCTCCACCTCAGTGGAATAATTCTGACGAATTTGGGAGCTCATGACTTTCCAACAATAAGGAGGTAAGGTGGAAAGAAAAAAAACCTGGTGTGTTGGCTGGTGTCTGAGGTGGTTCTGAAGATGGTGACTGGATAAGACACTGGGGAGTGATCAGAGGCTGGAAGAAGGAGCGTCCCTGGGTCCGTTCTGTCCAAACACTGTTGAAGCAAGAGACAGATCTAGGACCACCGAGGGCACTATCTAGATATTTTTTATTTTTATTTTTTTATTTTTAAATATATTTTTATTGATTTCAGAGAGGAAGGGAGAGGGAGAGAGTTAGAAACATCAATGATGAGAAAGAATCATTGGTCAGCCGCCTCCTGCATGCACCCCACTAGGGATAGAGCTTGCAACCCAGGCATATGCCCTTGACTGGAATCAAACCTGGGACCCTCAGCCTGCAGGCCGATGCTCTATCCACTGAGCAAACCCAGCTAGATCTTTCTTATTTTTTAATGTAAGCATTTATAGCTATAAATTTCCCTGTTGACACTGCTTTTGCTACTTCCCATAAATGTTTGTATGTGGTGTTTTTGTTTTCATTTGTTTCTAAGTATTTTGTAATTTCCCTGTGGCTTCTTCTTTGATCCATTGGTTGAATGGATCAAAAGTGTGTTGTTTAATTTCCAGTTTTTTTATTTTCTAGTTTTACTTATATTATTGATCCTAAAAATATATCTTTATTGTTGAAAGTATTACAGATGTTCCCTTATTGATTTTTTAACTTTATCCCGTCGTGATTGGAGAAGAGAGTTTGACATCTATCTTTCTTCATTTCTTGAGACTTAATTTGTGTCCTAACATATTATCTATCCTGGAAAGTGTACTATGAGCCCTTGAGAAGAAGACCTATACTCTTTTTGTGACGAGCGTCCTCTGTATGTCTGTTAGATCTCATTGGTTTACAGCAGTTCTGCTTAACCACAGTTTTTTTAAAAATATATTTTATTGATTTTTTTTTTTTTTTACAGAGAGGAAGGGAGAGGGATAGAGAGCTAGAAACATCGATGAGAGAGAAACATCGATCAGCTGCTTCCTGCACACCCCCCACTGGGGATGTGCCCGCAACCAAGGTACATGCCCTTGACTGGAATCGAACCTGGGACCGACCCTTCAGTCCGTAGGCCAACGCTCTATCCACTGAGCCAAACTGGTCAGGGCTTAACCACAGTTTTGCTTTCCATAGTTTCAGTTACCCAGAGCAAACGACAGTCCAAAAGTATTAAATGGAAGATTCCAGAAATAAACAATTTGTAAGTTTTAAATTGCACACTGTTTTGAGTATCATGATGGAATCTCACACCATCCTGTTCTGTCCCACCAGGTTCATGAATCATCTCTTTGTTCAGTCTACAAAGGAGGATAGGATCCTTTTTGCCCACCCTGGTTCCTGCAAGCTATGTGAGAGCTCCTCCAAGAACAGGCGAATAGCTGTTTGCCACAGGTAGCTGCTACTGTGTAAAAGCCAAAATTAACAGCAATTTACTCCCCTAGACTTTCCTTGGAAGTTGTAACCTTCAGTAGACTCCAGAGTTCCCACATAGTTGCATTAGACAGATTCTTTCAATGCAGTTGTTGTGTAGGTGGGGAGGCATATTCCTTGTACTTATTACTCCACCATCTTCCTGGAGTTATCCTGTAGGAGTTTTTTGTATGTTGTTAATACAAATCTTTTGCCACATGAATGTATTGGAGTATTTTTCCCTCAGTCTGTTGCTTGATTATTCATTCTCAAAATGGTTATTCTTTTCATGAGCAAAATTTTCTTGAAGTTCAATATTTCACTTATTTTTATGATTAGTACATTTTATGTTATGCCTAAAAAGCTTTGACTACTCTATGGTTGCAAAGATATTTTTTAGAAGCTTTATGGTTCTAAATTTTACATTTAGGTCTGTGATCCATCTTGAATTAATTTTTGTATATGGAGTGCAGAAGGGGTCAGAATCCTCTTCCCATAGACATATCCAGTTGTTTCAGCACAAATTGTTAAATAGACTTTCCTTTCCCTATTGAATTGATTGGGTGTCTTGGTTGATAATCAATTAACTATATATCTGGGTTTACTTCTGGACTTGATTCTGTTTATTAATCTATTTCTATCTACTTCTATTTTAAGCCTGATGTAATTATATACTAAATCTTGAACTCAGAAATATAAGTACTCTAACTTTGGTTTTCTTTTTTCAATATCATTTTGATTATTCTAGGTCCTAAGCACTTCGCATTCCCATAAAAATTTTAGAACCACATTATCAATTTTTTAAAAAAACAAAAAAACTCGCTGAACTTCAGAATTGATTTGAGGTTCTATATGATGTTATTTCCCTTCAGAGAGGGATTACTTTTGTTTCTATCAATCAGAAAGCTTAGGGGCTACATACCTTTATCTAATAAATGTTTCAGGAATTCAAAGCTGGGCCCTGGCCAGTATGGCTCAGTTGGTTGAGCATCATCCCATGTACCAAGAAGTCACTTGGATTCCTGGTCGGAGCACTGATGCCCAGGTTATGGGCTTGATCACCAGTAAGGAGCACGCAGGAGGCAGTTAATTAATGTTTCTCTTTGTCATTGATGTTTCTCCCTCTCCCTCTTCCTTTCTCTCTAAAAAATCAATAAAAACATTTTTTTTAATGCAAAGCTGGGCTTTAGTCTTTATCAGGGCTAGTCAATTACCCTTATCCTAGGGCAGTGATGGCGAACCTATGACATGCGTGTCAGAGGTGACACGCGAACTCATTTTTTGGTTGATTTTTCTTTGTTAAATGGCATTTAAATATATAAAATAAATATCAAAAATATAAATCTTTGTTTTACTATGGTTGCAAATATAAAAAAAATTCTATATGTGACACAGCACCAGAGTTAAGTTAGGGTTTTTCTTTTTTTTAAATACATTTTATTGATTTTTTACAGAGAGGAAGGGAGTGGGATAGAGAGTTAGAAACATCGATGAGAGAGAAACATCAATCAGCTGCCTCCTGCATACTCCCCCCACTGGGGATGTGCCCGCAACCAAGGCACATGCCCTTGACCGGAATTGAACCCGGGACCCTCAAGTCCGCAGGCCGACGCTCCATCCACTGAGCCAAACCGGTTAGGGCAAGTTAGGGTTTTTCAAAATGCTAACACACCGAGCTCAAAAGGTTCGCCATCCCTGTCCTAGGGTGAAATCGATCACGGTCTCAGTAGAAAACCTGGGATGTTTACCAGGGCTCTTTCTTCTTTTCAGGCTCTTTACTATAATTTTTGTGTTGCCATTCAAAGCTGGGAAATTGCTGAAAGCTCTTTCAGCTTCTCAATGCTGCCTTTGTTTTTGGAATCAATAACTATCTTTAGGATAAGTTTTCCCAAACACCAGGTTCACTTTCCTTGGCTTCTCTTTTCTTCCAGATCTTGGGCCAGCAAATTCTCATTGCTTTGGGTAGCTTTTTTATGCCTTCAAATTGATGTTTAAGAAAATAATAATTATCTACATTTTCCAATTGTTCTCAGCAAGAAGTTTATCTGTAATAGCCCACTTATTCAGCCTTTGCTGTAGATGGAACTCTCTGACGTACACTTTTTAAATATAAGTTAATTAAAATGAACTTTGTTTTGTAAAATATTTTCATACTTTCCTAATTATTCTGGAAATAATTGGAAAATACTTAGAGGCATTGAAATTGCTAGCCTGGAAGTTTGGCTTTCGCATTATTGGTGGTGAAAATTACCACAGACCTTCAGGCCAACATGAGACAGGCCACAAACAGAACGTGGTGTTTGGAGCTGCTCACCAAAACTGTGCCTTATAAAAGGGGAGAAAACATTCCTCTACTCATTATATTTACCCAGCTCCACTGAGGCAAAGCGGCATTACCCACTCATCGTTTTTCCATTATTGTGCTGTAGCAGCATGTGGGGTTTTTGCTGGATAATACTGGAGAGCACTCCTCCTATTTGCTTTTAGATGTTCATAGTGGAATCTGCTCACCCTAGCTTAACACCAGGGACTTCTTGCTGTGCTGCCATTTAACAGGTAAAATCAGGTTGGTGGAGGTGAAAGCAGCAAGAGGAGAATGTGACCTAATTGGCAATTTTAACTTAAGTCTCTGAAGTTTCTCAGATAAAATGTAAGGAAAACTAGAAACCTGTGGCTCTTGTACACAGATGTGTGCACATAAGTAACCATATAGACATCCATACACACTCCTAAACACATCCATATTGCACACTCAAATAGTGTGAAACCTAACCTTAGGCTAAACTAGATAATATCATGGAATTCACTGGATACTATGTGGAAAGGTAGGACTTCTTGAGGAAGGACAGGATCAAAAAGCAAGAGCTAACTTTGGTTAATGCCTATTATGTGCCAAGTATATACAGGGGTGGTCAAAAGTAGGTTTATAGTTGTGAGTATGCAAAACACAGAATTTATTCTTGTATTATTTATTTACTAGAGACCCGGTGCACAAAAATTTGTGCACTTGGGAGGGTCCCTCAGCCCGGCCTGTGCCCTCTCGCAGTCTGGGACCCCTCGGGGGATGTCCACTTGCCAGCGGGGAGCAGGCCTAGCTGCAGTCGGACATCCTTAGCGCTGCTGAGGAGGCAGGAGTGGCTCCCACCACCACCGCTGTACTGGCAGCTATCAGCCTGGCTTGTGGCTGAGCATAGCTCCCACTGTGGGAGCACACTGACCACCAGGGGACAGCTCTTGCATTGAGCGTCTGTCTCCTGCTGGTCAGTGTGTATCATAGTGACCAGTGATTCCCAGTCGCTCTGCTGTTAGGGTCAATTTGCATATTACCCTTTTATTATATAGGATAGAGGCCTGGTGCATGGGTGGGGGCCTGCTGGTTTGCCCTGAAGGGTGTCCTGGATCAGGGCGGGGGTCACACTGGGGTGCCTGGCCAGCCTGGGTGAGGGGCTGATGGCTGTTTGCAGGCTGGCCAAGGCTCCCAGTGGGGACCCTCACCCCATGAGGGTGTGACCATCCTAGGTGAGGGGCTGATGGCTGTTTGTAGGCTGGCCAAGGCCCCCAGTGGGGACCCTTACCCCATGAGGGTGTGGCCATCCTGGGTGAGGGGCTGATGGCTGTTTGCAGGCTGGCCACAGTCCCTTCAGGTTGGGGGCTCCTGCTGGGTTGCCTTGCCAGCCTGGGTGAGGGGCTGATGGCTGTTTGCAGGCTGGCCACAGCCCCTTCAGGGTAAGGGTCCCCGCTGGGGTGCCTGGAGAGCCTGGGTGAGGAGCTGATGGCTGTTTGCAGGCTGGCCAAGCCCCCCAGCAGGGACCCAAACCCCATGAGGGTGTGGCCATCCTGGCTGAGGGTTTGATGGCTGTTTTCAGGCTGGCCACAGCCCCCAGCCACCCAAGCTCTCAGTGGAGGCTAGCTGGGAGCAGGTATCTGGGATTTATTTGTCTTCTATAATTGAAACTTTGTTGCCTTTATTGGAGGCCTCAGCCAGCTCAGGGCTGGCAGGAAGCTTGGCTTCCTCCATCGCCGGGGCAACCAAGCCTCCTGCTTGCTGCATCTCCATGGCTGCCGGCCGCCATCTTAGTTGGGTTAATTTGCATATAGTCACTCTGATTGGCTGGTGGGTGTGGCTTGGGTGTAGCGAAGGTACGGTCAATTAGCATCTTCATCTTTTATTAGTGTAGGTTAATTACTGTATTATGTGTTTGTATTATTTGTCATCTTCTGTAAACCGACTTTTCTTCACTCTGTACATATATTTATATTTAATTCTTATAATAATCTTACAGAATAGGTACTGTTATCTTCATTTTTTAAAAAATATTTTTTATTGATTTCAGAGAGGAAGGGAGAGGGAGAGAGAGATAGAAACATCAATGATGAGAGAGAATCATTGATTGGCTGCCTCTGCACACCCCACACTGGGGATCGAGCCCATAACCCACATGTGCCCTGATCAGGAATAGAACCTGTGACCTTCTGGGTCATAGGTCGACACTCAACCACTGAGCCACGCCAGCTGGGCTGTTATCTTCATTTTTAATTTAAAGCCCTACCCAGGCTCAAATGGCTAGTGCATTTGCAGAGCCAAGAATCAAATCTAATTCTGCCTGGTTCCAAATTCTATTCTCTGAAAGTCTGAAAGAGAGGCAGTTCTTATTTAAACAAATAGACTCTGCAGTAGAGTTTCTAAACAGAAGTATAATTAATAAATTTGTTTATTGTTTCTCTCAGTGGCCAACAGCATTAATCTCAGTGAATAAGAGTCTGCTGAGCACTTACTAAATGCTCAGTTACTAGGGTTTGATGACCAAGGGTAAGGTGATGTGTGAGTGTTGAGAATAACAGAGCACAGAAATGTTCACACTAATAAACTTTTTCTGAACACCTAAACACTGAGCTGATTATTCAGAATACAAGGACAAGAAGTATAAAACGTGGTCTTCACCCTCCAAAGTTCACAGTCTAGTTATTTCAGAGGCCATTTG